GGACTTCTAGGAAGCCATCTCTGTGTTCATGGCTATTTGCCACTGAGAGGAGTAGGGACCGGCCATCGCCTCTGCGTAAGAGCGTGGGGTCGGGATGTATGGTGCATCCGGGTCTCCCTCAAGGGCAAGAAGCATGGACACGAGATGGGGCAAAGCGGCAGCAAAGCACTCAAACTCCTCCTGCCTGTCCTCAAGGACGTCAGTGCGAAGAGCACACTCACCCCCTACGGACGGAGAACAGACAGACTCAGACTCAGCAACTAGGCTAGCGGCGTAGTCTAGACGACAGGTGGCAACAAAGTCGACAAGCTCAGCAACTAAGGCAGTCGCAGCAGCGGACTCAAAGGAAGGGTCAGTGACAGCAGTAGCCAGGAGACGCGTGACAGTAGGACTGGCAGCACAAAGGGAGTCTGACTCCGGGTCAGCAAGAGCAGGAAGAGAGGACACAGGAGGAGACGGCAGTGGGACACGCTGTGGAGCAGTAGAAGGACGAAGCGCCATCCGGTGAGTGCCAAGGACAGCAGGAAGACGCTGACGCGGGACGCGACTACCAGTGAGAGCAGCACGGACAGGCGACGCACGACGAGACTCAGGCTCACGACGCTCAGTAAGACCTCCAGTCGGACCAGTGTAAGGAGCAAGACCAGGGAGAGAGGAGGGAGACGGTAGCTGCGACTGCAGCTGGACAGACGGAGGACACCCTAAGGAGGGAGGAGGACAAGGAGGAGGAAGCTGACCAAGAACCTGCTGAAGGAGCGGAATGAAGTACGGCCGCGGCCGTGCAGCGACTCCAGAACCAGCAGAGACACCAGCGCCAGGGTCCTCAGCACCAGCAGCAGCTCCAACTCCCGGGTCCTCAGCACCAGCAGCAGCTCCAACGCCCGAATCCACAGCACTAGCAGCAGCACCAGCGCCAGGGTCCTTAGCACGAGCAGCAGCTCCAACGCCCGGGTCCGCAGCACCAGCAGGAGCTCCAACGCCCAAGTCCTCAGCACCTGCAGCAGCTCCAACGCCCGGGTCCTCAGCACCAGCAGCAGCTCCAACGCCCGGGTCCTCATCACCAGCGCCCGGGTCCTCAGCACTAGCCGTAGCTCCAACGCCCGGGTCCGCAGCACCAGAAGCAGCTCCAACCTCTGGAGCCGCAGCACCAGCAGCACCAGTAGAGTCTCCAGCACCAGCAGCACCACCAGCAGCAGCGGGGTCCGCGACACCAGGTGCGCCACTCCGTAGAGCGCAGCATCGCTCGTACCACTCACGGATCCACTCACGGGAGGGGAGCTTCCGACTAGGAGGAGAAGCACAAACACCAGTCCCAGTAGTACGCCCGGCTCCAGAGGTACCTCTCCTGAGGCTGCAGTACTGTTAGTACCACTCACGCAGCTGCTCCGAGGAGAGGGCTCCTCCAGGTGTAGGACTCCCAGGCTCAGCACCTCCAGACTCAGAACCCCCAGACTTCGGACTCTGCGGCTCAGCACCCCCAAGCTCAGCACCCCCAGGCTCAGTACCCCCAGGCTCAGCACCCCCAGGCCCCGCAACCCCAAGCTCCGCACCCCCAGGCTCAGCACCCCCAGGCTCCGCACCACCAGGCTCCGCACCCCTAGGCTCCGCACCCGCAGCAGGACAAGAGTCGACAGCTACCTCAATAGGCTCAACCGGGTCTACCTGAGACACACCTGAGGGAGCGGCACCCTGAGGGGGGAGGGGGTCTACGACAGCAGCACCTGGCGCGAGGAAGAGAGGCGGGGGGGGGAGCGGGGCAGTGCGGTAGGGGAAGAGGCGGTAGTAGGGGACGGACTCGTCAAAAGTGACGTCCTGAGAGGGCAAGACTCGGCGCGAGGTGGCGTGGTAAAACTGCCAACCTGGCGTGTCCGGGACAAAGCCGAGGAAGACGCAGGGAACAGCACGGGAGGAGAGCTTGTCCGCAGACGTATCGCGGACAAAAGCTCGAGATCCCCAGACCCGGAAACGCGATGCATCGCCAACCTCCCCCGTCCACAGCAGTGTGGGCGAGGTCTCCGGCAAGGAGACACGGGGCCAGAGGTTGAGCTGATGCGCAGCGTACCGGACCGCAAACGGCCACAGAAAGTGAGGGGCAGCCGCATGGATCAAGGAGGTACGGGCGACCTCCATGACCAGGCCAATGTGGCGCTCCGCAATCCCATTCTCCTGTGGAGAGGCCGGAAGCGTAAACGACTGCTCAATGCCGTGCTCAGAAGAGTAGGCTGCCAAGAGGTCGGAGGAGAACTCACCACCTTTGTCAGAGTGCAAGCGCAGGACAGGAAAGTCCGAGTGGAAACGCTCGCTGAGCTGGAGACGGGCTCTGCGGATCCAAGGGATCAAGACATCAGGGACCTCACCCTTGGTGCGCAAGGGGAAGACCGTGGTGTAGCGCGAGTAGTCGTCAACAACAATCAGGAAGTACCTCTCCTGACCCTGACCACGGACGCGGGTTGGGCCCCACACGTCCATGTGGAGCGTCTGCAAGGGAGCAGTCGTCGGGGGAAACGAGGAGGAGTGAGGAGCGGCGCGTTGCCGCCCCTCGACACAGGGAAGACACGGAGGAGCAGGTGAGGGAGTGAGGGGAGTAAGGACCCTGGGAAGGCTAGAGACAAGGTATCGGGAGTGCATGGCACGAAGCCGCTGCACAGACGGGTGGCCAAGGCGGTGGTGCCAGAGGACAGTCTCGTGTGCCAGAGAGCGACACGAGCAGGGGGCCGACAGCTGACCTGACGCGGACGCAGACGCAGCGACTTGAGGGGACTCAGTGGTCAGTGTGTACAGGTCCGACCCCGGCTGCCAAGTGAAGGTAGCCAAGTGACGGCCCGTACGAGCACACGTGCAGTGTGTCGCTCGCTCGTAGGCAGGGGTGAACTGGTGAACACCCCCGTCCTGGAGAGCACATCCTGCCACCAGGTTCGTAGAGAACGAGGGGAGGTGGAGACCTGACAGTGTGCCCGACGGGACTGCAGGACAGGGGAGGATAGTGGAGGAGGTCGCAATGACCGGACCCCCAGAGGGGTCAGCGAGGGAGACAGCAACTGGCCGAGCAAGCGGCTCAAGGGCAGTGCGGTCACGAAAGAAGCAGCGAGAAGCACCTGAGTCCAGTGTGAAGGTGTGCAGTGCTGCAGTCGACTCAGTACCAGGGGGGGGCAGACGCACAAGCACCTAGAGCAGCTGCCTCACCAGCACCTGGGGTAGCAGACACGCGAGTACCTGGAGCGGCAGACGCACTAGTCCTAATGCCCGGGTCGGGCGGCACACACAGGTACTCAGCACCCTCTCCACTAGTAGGCATCACATACATAGCAGTGAGAATAGCATCAAAGTCTAGAGCATAGATATCAATCCCGTTCTTACAATTTATCGATCTACACCACAAGCCACGCACCACACCTTCCGTTCTCAAATCCCATCGCTGACATGGCAGGATCCTAGCCGCAGAGAAAGGCCGTCAGTATTTCCTTTCACCGGAACATCGACCAAGTACATCCATCCAACCGTCACTCCTCCACAGCTATTTCCTTGAGTGAGGTGAGGCGAGGTGCAGGGCTGTCGATTCAAGGGCATTTGCCCTTAATGCCTTGAACATTCCGGGTTATGTTCGGGGCAGCTCGACCATTTTAAGGGTTCGATTTGACTGGCACCCGTGCCAGTTAAGGGCATCGTTTGGCCCTTCCCCGGACGCGTTAAGTGCTCAATCTGGGCCATCCCCTGAATCTAATTTCTACTTTCGATTCCGCAGACCTCCCCCCCCCCAAAATCTTGCGAAACATCCCCCCTCCCCTTACCCCCCCTTTCCATGAAAGTTGCACAATAGGGCGCCAGGTGGAGGATGTTTCACTCGATTCTATCCAATCTAGTGTGTGTAGTGTCGAAGTCAGCAGATGATTCGAAATGCAGTAGGCTGTGCAGCTATAGTTGTAGTTGGAAATTGTGACATACAGGTTGACTGGAGTAGTTAGTAATGAAAAGTATGTGATTTTCTTGTCTAGGACGTTGTTTGGGTTGGTTAAGTACACAACACTTTGGAGCCCGGATTTCAAGTTTACACTTCGGCCTGCACCCGCGACCGCCCGCGTCTCATATTTCCGCCCCCCCAACCAAGTGTAATATGGTTGAAATCGGGTAACCAGTTTTAGGTCGCCCGACGACCACTGTTGGTGGGCACAGGTTTGGGGTCAGGTTGGGAAAGAGACTCGAGAGGAAAAGGTTGTCGTACGTGCCAGCCCCAGCAATTGAACGTGCACCACCCCAAGGTGTGGAAATGCACATGACGACTCAAAATGCTAAGTGCATGATTCGATCGTGCGACACAACCACCCTGTGCGATTTTCCAGCACCAGGGGGAACAAACATATTACAACAGCTCGAGGAAATTAGAGACGCAGTTTCGAACAGCAAACAAGCGGAGGCACTCACGCAGCCTAACAAGCATATTACACTAGATATAGACAGCAGAAAACGTCCACGCGACCCTATAATATGGCGCAGCAATGCCGCCACCAACAGGACCGTCGTATCACCAACATTTAGAGCGAGAACCAGCATTGAAGCTCATGCGCGGCGAGTGCTAACGGACCATATCCGTAACGTGCGGACCCACCACCATAAAGCTTTACGGTTAGGAACTCGACGAGGCGACGCGAGGCATTTTCCTTCGCCACCATCTACGAGTGTGTGCTACTCGTCAGGACGGTGAGCACGAGCTGCTAATTACGGTAGCTCCGCAAAAACGAAGATATCGACCGCGTCAGTCAAATGCCACGGCATAATCAAAGCTCTCGACCTGTTTAGGGTTGCTTCTGGTATAGGGCAAATCACTGGACGTCTTGAGAAGAGCAGCCAAAGCGCGAATAGCCTCATTGCTGGCTCATGCGATTGTTTAGCATGTAGCCCCAATAAAACGCGGCGTCGTTCCGCAGCTCGCATTGGGGGCGAGGCTGTAATCTTGCACCAGTAAATTTCGCGCCCCGCCTCAACGCGTGAAGTGCGCAGCAGCCATGACACCGCCGACTGGGGCAAAGCAGGCGGGAGGCGCGCCTCTGCCTGACTGCCCCGCTACCCCCCTACTCACCCTATCACGACGGCTCCTCCTCTCCCCCCGCACTTCCCGTGCATGCAACTCCCAGGGCATGACTGGTGGCGCACTCAGCAGGCGGGAGGCGCGCGTCTGCCTGACTGCCGCGCTCCCCCCCTTCTCTTCCGTTCACCCCAATCCCGCTTCCCCCCATCTTCCCCCGCATGCGCCTCCCAGGTGTGGTCTGGTGGCGCACTCAGCAGGCGGGAGGTGTGCCTCCCCCTGTTTGCGGCGCTCCCCCCCTTCTCTTCCTATCACCCCAACCCCTGCCTGACTGCCCCGCTAGATCCCCCTTCTCTTCCTGTCACCCCAACCCCTCTCCCCCCGCCTATCCCCTACATGCGGCCCCCAGGTGTGGTCTGGTGGCGCACTCAGCAGGCGGGAGGCGCGCCTTTGCCTGTCTGCCGCACTCCCCCCCTTCTCTTCCTATCACCCCAATCCCGCTTCCCCCCATCTTCCCCCGCATGCGCCTCTCAGGGCAGGTCTGGTGCCGCACTCAGCAGGTGGGAGGCGCGCCTCTGCCTGACTGCCCCGCTAGATCCCCCTTCTCATCCTATCACCCCAACCCCGCTTCCCCCGCCTATCCCCCGCATGCGGCCCCCACGTGTGGTCTGGTGGCGCACTCAGCAGGTGGGAGGTGCGCCTCTGCCTGACTGCCGCGCTCCCCTCCTTCTCTACCTATCACCCCAATCCCGCAGGTCCCCCTCCCCGTGCACCCTCCCCCCTCTCTCCCCAGCTCACCCTCCCTTTCGAGGTGGCTCCCATATGACGCTCGTGGCACACTCTGCAGACGGGTACGTGGAATGCCTCTTCTAGACTAAGTACCCGCCGCTACTCCCTCTCCCCGTGCCCCAAACCCTGAAACTTCCTGCTGACTCCCCATCTGCGGCATCACATACCATCGAGTGCCCTCCCAGGAGCTTGGTTGCACAACCTCAAGCATGGCTAGCAGCAGCAACAGTGCGAGAGACGATTTGAAGAAACACCTGAAGAACATTATGGATAAGGATCCACAGAAGATGTTGTCAGTCAACAAACACATGACCCTGCCTGTTGCCATCATGCGGTGCGGTTTAACCGCGCTGTTGGGGAGAGAGGCGTCTTTCAATGATCTGATGCACGTACTGGTAACTTCATCACCCGACGTCGTCAACAAACTCTTTGATGCAGCAACAAATTCATGTGACTTTGTGCCCACGGTACCATCCATAACATCCCCACCCTTTCGTGGTCAGTGAACCCCAATCCAACCCATTGTCTCCCTCTACACTATTTCCTCTTCTCCCCGCACTCTCCCCCCCTTCCCCAACCCCCGTTTGCCCAAACGTCTAACACAAGGCAACACCTTAGCCTCTAATTCATCTCTGGGGAAGCAGGGCAGGGGATGGGGGGAAGCAGGAAAGGGGATGGGGGGAAGCAGAGAAGGGGAGGGGGGGAAGCAGGGCAGGGGATGGGGGGGAGCAGCGCAGAGGACATGGGGGGAAGCAGGGAAGGGGATGGGGGGTAGCAGGGCAGGGGATGGGGGGAAGCAGGGAGGGGGATGAGGGGAAGCAGGGAGGGGGATGAGGGGGAGCAAGGAGGGGGATGGGGGCGAGGCGGGAATCTGATGGGGGGAAGCAGGGAAGGGGATGGGGGGAAGCAGGCAAGGGGAGGGGGGGAAGCAGGGCAGGGGATGGGGGGAAGCATGAAAGGGGATGGGGGGAAGCAGGGAAGGGGAGGAGGGGAAGCAGGGCAGGGGAGGGGGGGAAGCAGGGCAGGGGACAAGGGGAAGGTGGTAAGGGGATGGGGGGAAGCAGGGAAGGGGAGGGGGGGAAGCCGGGAAGGAGATGGCGGGAAGCAGGGAAGGGGAGGGGGGGAAGCACGGCAGGGGGATGAGGGGGAGCAGGGAGGGGGATGGGGCCGAGGCGGGAATCTGATGGGGGGAAGCAGGGAAGGGGATGGGGGGAAGCAGGCAAGGGGAGGGGGGGGAGCAGGGCAGGGGATGAGGGGAAGCAGCGCAGGGGACATGGGGGGAAGCAGGGCAGGGGATGGGGGGAAGCAGGGAGGGGGATGAGGGGGAGCAGGGAGGGGGATGGGGGCGAGGCGGGAATCTGATGGGGGGAAGCAGGGAAGGGGATGGGGGGAAGCAGGCAAGGGGATGGGGGGAAGCAGGCAAGGGGAGGGGGGGAAGCAGGGCAGGGGATGGGGGGAAGCAGCGCAGGGGACATGGGGGGAAGCAGGGCAGGGGATGGGGGGAAGCAGGAAAGGGGATGGGGGAAGCAGAGAAGGGGAGGGGGGGGAAGCAGGGCAGGGGATGGGGGGGTAGCAGCGCAGGGGACATGGGGGGAAGCAGGGAAGGGGATGGGGGGTAGCAGGGCAGGGGATGGGGGGAAGCAGGGAGGGGGATGAGGGGGAGCAGGGAGGGGGATGGGGGCGAGGCGGGAATCTGATGGGGGGAAGCAGGGAAGGGGATGGGGGGAAGCAGGGCAGGGGATGGGGGGAAGCAGGGCAGGGGATGGGGGGAAGCAGGACAGGGGAGGGGGGGATGCAGAAAACCGGATGGGGGGAAGCAGAGCTTGGGATAAGGGGAAAGAACGAAGAGGATGGGGGGACGCAGGGAGGGGGTTAGGGGAAGCAGGGCAGGGGATGGGGGTTCATGGGCCAGGGGACATGGGGAAGGTGGGAAGGGTACATGGGGAAGCAGGGAAGGAGAGGGGGGGATGGAGAGAACCGGATGGGGGGAAGCAGGGATTGGGATAAGGGGAAAGAATGAAGAGGATGGGGGGACATGGAGAAGGAGGGAAGGGGAGAGGGGGAAGCAGAAAACCGGATGGGGGGAAGCTATTGGGAAGGGAGGCGGGAGGGAAGGCGAAGGCGACGAGCAGTGGATGGCGGGGGTGGGGGGGGGGGGGGGTCGGGGCTCCATGAGTGTGGAGGGGGCAGGGGTGAGAATGCGGATGTGAAGGGGAGTGATATCAACGAGGGAAGGGGCGGTGGCACAGGTGGGGGTAACGTGCCTGCAAGCGAGGGGGTAGGGGAGAGAACGCGACATCGTGCGGGGGTGATCGTGACGGGGGAGGGGGAATGGCCGCGTGGGGGAAGGGGAGTGAGATGGACGGGGACAGAGAGATAGCAGTGGGGAGGGAGATGGCTAGCGGTGGGCCTTAGGGAGAGCTAGCGAGGGGGAAAGGAGGAGATGGCGAAGGGGAAGGGGAGGGCGGGCGATTGGGGGGGGGGGGAGGGGTGGCACGAGTGTGGAGGGGGAGCGGGTGAGAATGCGACGGTGAAGGGCAGTGATATTGATGGGGGAAGGGGAATGGCCGCGAGGGGGAAGGGTAGTGTTGGGGACGGACGGGGAGTGATAGCAGTGGGGAAGGAGATGGCTAGCAGTGGGGAAAGGGAGAGATAGCTCAGGAGCAATCATCGTGCCTTGCAAAGGGGAAGGGGAAGGCGTGAGGTTGGGGGGGGGGGGGGGGGGACGAGTGTGGAGGGGGGAGGGGAGAGAGGGCGACGTGGAAGGGGAGTGATAGCAGTGGGGGAGGAGAGAGCTAGCGGCGGGGGCAGGGGGAGCTATCGAGGGGGGAAGGAAGCGATAGCGAAGGAGCGGGATAGTGTTTGCGGAGGGGAAGGGGAGGGCGGCAATCGCGTGGAGGGGGAAAAGGAGAGAGTATGACGAGGAAGGGGCGTGCTGGTGACGTGGGAAGGGGAGGGCGCACAGGTGGGGGGAACGTGCACGCGAGCGAGGGGGAAGGGGCGAGAACGTGTCAGCGAGAGGGGGTGATCGTGACGGGGAATGGGGAATGGTCGCGTGAGGGGCAGGGGAGTGATAGGGACAGGGGAGGGGAGTGCTTGCAGTGGGGAAAGGGGGAGTTATCGATGGGGCAGGGCATTGATAGCCCTTTGAAAGGGGTGAGCGCGACGTGGAAGGGGAGTGGTTGGGAGGAGGGGGAAAGTGAACGCGACACGGTAGGGGAGTGTTAGCGTGGGGAAAGGGAGGGATGGAGACGGGGAAGGGGAGTGATCGCGAGGGGGCGGGGGCCGGCGCGCATGGGGGAAAACGGGGACGCTCGCGAGGGGGTAGGGGAGAGACAGCGACGGGGGAAGGGGAGTGATTGCGAGGGGACTGGGGAGTTGAGGCTGTGAGGAAGCGCGTAGGGGGACGGTGGGGAATAAGAGAGTGATCCCGGGGGAGCGCGGTGTTGGCGCCAGTGGGGTTGCAGGCGCGAAATCGTGGAGGCTGATGCGCGGAACACTTTCGGGGGGGGGGGGGGGGGGGGGGGGGATACGCGACCGCTAATACGGCGCGTTGTTGTACTCACGGGAGGTTTCGACGGCGGATCGTTCGGCATCGCATTTCCTTGAACCCGCCTCGTCCCCATTAGGCGCGTGGAGCGACATTGCTAATAATGAAGCGAGATTTCCGTCGAGCTTTTATACGTGCGAAAGAGTTGTATTCGGGAGGTGTAGAACTCTAATGACGATAGTGGCTGGGGCGGGTGTCTGCCGTAATGATAGTAGTATTGGGGAGGTGTGACTAGTGCTACTTTAGTAATCAGAAGTGATTCCCATCGCCCACGTGCGGGGGGGGTTCTGTTTGTCGCATGGGTGGGTCGCAGGGTGTGTTTTCGCTTACGAAACAGTGTTGTACCAGGTTGGGGTGTGCCCAGGTTAGGGCGTGTGGTTTGGTGTTGTCTGTACAGTGTTCTGGTTTCGTGCGAATGACCCTTCCTCTCGTGCTGAATTTCGCTGCTCGTGGACCAATCCCAGGTGCCCCCACCCAACCAAGTGTAATACGGAAGAAATCATGAGACGCGGGTTTTAAGGGCAAAAAATTGGTCACCTCGCTGAATAGCTCATCCGACAGAGTTCCGGCGGCCCAGTTTGCCAGGGACGACGGACGAGTTCGACGGGCCCAGCACCGCCGAGGCGGGGAACTGGCGCGCGTGCCTGCCCGCCAGGCTGGCCCGGGGCTGGGCCGAGCGCACGCTCGCCGCCCCTCAACCCCCCTGCGTAATTGAACAGCACCCCACATTACCGGGTGGGGGCGGCGAACTCACTCCACCTCGCGCGAGGGGAAGTAACCCAAGGGCAAAGGCAGCCCTCGCCGTGGCCCTGCCCTCGACGACCTAGTAACCCTCTCGCGCTGCCCCTACGGGCAGGCGAGGGCCCGGCGAAATACTGATGCTCCCCTCGGGACCCTCGGCCAATTCGCGACCCGCTGGCGTGTGGACACGTGTCTGCCCAGGGACGACGCTGCATGCCAGGCCCTTGTGACGCTGCATGCCACCAGACCCCCACGCCTACCCACGCGAGCGGGCGTGATGGGGCCGATGTGGCCCGGCGTCCGACGAGCATGCGATTGGAGGAGGTTGCTGCTCATCGTGCCGAGCCACTTCGGCCTCCGGGCCGGTTTTGGCCACCGCCTTGGTCTGGGTCCGTCGTGCCTTATCTTCGTGGACGGAGTGACCGACGCCCCATTTTGCTCTTCTCATTTCGCCTTTCACATTTCTCACCTCTGCGCCTTCCTCTGTCCTGCTGCTGCTAGATAGATAGCCAGTAGTGTCGTGCCTTCGGTCGCCGGTAGTGTCGTGCCTTCGCAATCATGGAGTTGAATAGCGGCGCTGCTCACCCGACGCCGGGCGCCGCAACGCCGACGCCGTCCTCGGCGGACTTCCCCCTGTACTTCAACATGGGCCGTGGCCTCACCTTCTCTTTTGACGAGAAGGACTTCGCCGTGCTGCGCGCCACGAAAAAAGACTTCAACGAGCCTTGCTTCGCACTCGCGCTCAAGTGAGTCCCTCCTTCAGTCAAGGCGGAACCCTTGTCCACTTTTGCTTTCCGTCGACTTAGTAGCTCTTTTTTAACACGCCGCTGCACCGACCTAGTAACTAATCCGGCGTGCGAGTTAGGGACGGTGTCCATGTCCATTTCCCGCCGACCTGGAAACTTCACTGTTCCGCCGACTTAGTTACTGCATGATATAGCTCAGCCGACGAATTCCCCCGGCCATTTTTTATCCCGACGACCTATAGGATGTTATTATTTGGAGCGCGTTACTAATTCGGCGTGCGAGTAAGCGACGACGTCCGTGTCTCTTTGTTCCGCCGACTTAGTAACTGCAGGCCGACTCAACGTTGCAGAATTAGTTACTACCGGTCGATAGGGTTTCGGTCAACGAAAGGTTTTCACGCCTAGGTTTGTCGTGAGCGCGTCCATGTCGGCGTTCAAGGCCGCTATCCTAACTACTTTCGCCGGCAACGAGTTCGCAATCCTGAACCGATGCCACATGTCCCCACGAGTTTGTTGACTGCAGGTACATGTGGATTCGCGAAGCTCCGATGGACTTGAAGCCGTGGATCATAGGGTGCAGGCGTCTTCGCGAGGCGATTAAGAAGAACGACCTCACCTGTTTTGAGTCGGTGTTCGACGCCGACATTGCCGTGCTACCTATAATCACGACGTGAGAAAGTGCGATGTTGCGTTGTCGTTGACGTCATGTTGAACTTCGATGTTATATATCGGCATCACATGGTTCATGTGTAGGATCGGGCTGCTTCCCGGGGTCCACTGCAGCGTCGTCGTGGTTCTTCGGCCCAGCGACTTGCTGAAGGCCGTCGACGTTGACAGCGAGACCTCGTTCCGCCACCTGGACCCGAAGACTGCAAACCGGCTGCATTCGTCTGAGGCGCTCGCCGTGCTAAGGTAGGCATGCTTAAATTGGGAAGGCTCTTTACCAGGTTACTGGTTTCTCGACGGCGTCCCCACTGACTCTTTCGTGCATTGCTGTTGCAGCTTTTTCGGGCGCTGTGTTTTGGCCGAGCTTGGAAGAAGTGACAGGACATGGAAGTGGGCGCCTCCCGCTGAGGAGGTCGTGGTGGCTCGACTCGCCGGTTGCGACTGGCCCACGCGCGACGTGAGTTTCTGTCGACCTTGTAGCCGACTTTAATTGGTCGTCTAACTGTGCTTGCGCTAGTACACCCTCGGCTCACCTAGCCTGCCCTTGCAACGGTTGTACGCAGAGATTGCCGGACATTGTGAAGAAAGAACAGGTCGGCACCGGATTGCATGTTGTGAGCGCGTTCGGATGGGTGGTCAGAGAGCGCGGAGCCCTACTCAAGTCACGTGCACCGGCGAGCGCTGAGAACCCTATGGTTCAGGGGTTGAGGGCACTCAAATCGGCGCTAGTGGAATACGTCAAGAGATGCGTTGCTGAGAGGCGGTCGGCGCCGTCCAATCACCCTACTGGGCCAAGTACCTCCCCCCTCGACGACGACGGAATCGTAACTAAGACGGCGTCTCAAGCTGGCGTGTTTTGCCCGGCGTATTCCGGCGCGCACGACACTAGAACTAGCGGTCATGTTGGCGGCGGTGGCGAGGCCGACCTGGTAGGAGAAGAGGAGCAGATGGCAGGGTCTGTTGAGTCATCTACTGACTCAGAGTCAGAGTCGGGATCCGAGGAGGAGGAGGAGGATGAAGAGGAGGAGGAGCGTGCAGGGAAGATGGCTGTTGGTGCTGAGGCGGACACAGACGCCGACCGCGGTGCTGGTCGCGACCCGACGTCGACCGGCGGGACAGGCGCAACTGCAGCGTTGGCTGGGGACAAGCCTCGTAGGAAGGCGCCGGTGCATGGTCAGCCTGCGTCGACCACATCTTCAAAGTCGGCGTTTGCAGCCGCACTTGCTCACGTGAAGCGACTGGAAGAGGAGAACATGAAACTGAGGGACGAGAATGCGGGGTTGCGGTCGGATCTGGTTACCGAGAGGTGTCGGACGGAGGGGTTGTTGGCGACGGCGGTTGAGTGCCTCGCGGCTATCAAGTCGCTTACCGAACGCGTCGCCGCCGCCGAGCAGACTGCGGGGACACACATCTCCACAGCCACAGCAGCCATGACCGGCGTCTTCACCAAGGTGCTGGACGATCGGGTTGCTCTGGTCAAGGCGTGCAGCAGCATGGCGACGCCGTTGTTGGGGGAAATCACAAAGGGCTTGGACAAGCTGGCCGTCGCCCGCCGTGATGCCGACGTGTGGTTGGGGAACCACGTGACCAACGTGGGGGATGACGTTAAGGCGGTGTTGGCCGAATACATCCAGACCAAGTTAGCCTCAACTTCCACCAACATCGTCGGCGGCTTATCGCGCAGCATCGTGCCGCCGCCGCCCGGTCCATCCCCCGCGCTGCCTGAAGAAGTCATCAAAGCAATGAGGGATGACATTGTTCAGGTGGTAACCGCCGTCACGCAGCAGGCGCTGGGAACCGTCGGCTTCACGCTTCTGCCCAACGTGCTTGCTACAATGAGGCTGGGGCGGCGTGGTTCGTCCCCGTTGGCCGGCGACCCGGAGACCGCGCAAAGGCATAGGCCGGAAAAAAGGGCTGCCAGCGGAAGTGCAGCCGACGGCGACAACGCGGGAAATTCGAAGCGGAGTAAAGGTGCTGGTGTGGAGCGAGCAGTCGGCGGCGACGTTCCAGATCGTGCCCAGTCCGGATCTCCCGTCCTCGACATGCTGAAGAGAAAAGGGGCGACAACTCGGCTCCTTGGCCCGCATAGTAGAGGCGGAGCTGGCGGCAGCTCGGAGGGCAGGACTGCCGCCGAGGAGGGTGTGCGAGCCGGCGGGTCTTCCACTCACGGCGGTGGAAGGAAAGGTCTGGAGATTCCACGTCCTGGAGCAAGCGAGGTAGCACCACCGCCGTTCTGTCGTGGTAACGTCGCCGTTGAATCGGTTGAAGTGCAGGCCGACGCGGCGATAGGCGTTGATCGCGGGCCGCCATTCGATGTTGAGGCTCCGTCAATCGGCGATCAGACTCACCAGGCTCCTGTGGTCGGCGTAGGGGTGGACACGGGCGCCCTCGGCGCGGAGGATGATCCCGTGGCGAGAGCGTTGATGGAGGAGCTTCTTGCTTTTCAGGCGCCCTCGCAGCAGCAGCCCGTCACCATCGACAACGCCACTGTCCCAACAACTCGTCGGGGGGCGCAACCTGTCGCCGGTACAGCACCAACAGCCCCGGTCTCGGCCGATGTCACCGCGCGTCACACGGCAGCACCATATGGTGATCCGCCGACAGGTGGGCCCGTCGCAGCGCCAAGCACGGGGCAAGACAACGCCGGTCAGACCCTCACGGACCCGGTCGCGGCCATGCTTCTGGCCGCGATCAACTCGTTTCAAGAGGCGGCACCTTCATCGCATCCGCCAACTACTGTCACCAGCGCTGCGCCGACTATGCAGCTCCTTGCCGCTGTTGCCACGCCGTCGGACCCAGTCTCGGACATGCTGATGGCCGAGGTCAACGCGCTTTCAGCAGGTGCACAATCCGCTCAACCGCAGACTCACGGCACGCGCATTGTGCCGACCACGGTGAACTTGGCGGAGCCCGTACACCAAGAAGCGGCAAACGAGACGGTTCCAACGGCGGTGCCAACGCATCACCAGGTCGGCGCGGCGTCTGGACAAGGTGATTGGGGCGCGGTGGCAGGAGACGATGGTGCGGGGGAGATCTCTCTCATCATCGAGGACGAGGATGTGGAATTGATACAAGCGGCGATAGAAGCAGACGAAGTTGCCGCACTTTGGTCTGTGGGAGGTACGTCGGGCATCAGTGGCGCGGAGGGTCGGCTTGCCGTTGTTACAGCGTCCACCCAGGCCGGGCCGACCGTGGAGCCGGCCCGTTTGGCTGTTCCGCCCATTCAGAGTCATCCTGCCGGCTTCATATAGGCGGATAGGGCCTTCCAGACCGGCCCGATCGGCGTCACTGGTTCTGACCAGGCTGGTCTGGCGGGAGAGTCCACTCGGCCCACCGCCGTTACAGTGGCTAGTCAGGCCGGCCAGGCCGGGCCTTCGGACAGGTCGGCGGGCGTCACTGTTGCGGTCCGGGCGGGTCAGGCGGGGACGTCCACTGCTCTGGCCGGTGGACCAGTGGGTGAACACGCCGACAAGGATGGACAGACCGATCGTGCGGCTGGAGTCGGCGAAAAAAAGAATAAACGGAAGGGTAAAGCCGCCGCGTCGCAGAAGGCCGTCGTTCCGAAAGATCGCAGGGGGCATGGTATTAGGCTGGACAGGACAAGCGGTGGCGGGTGGCAAGGCGAGGTAAACCTGGCTGGAAAGAGTCGCTACACGGGGAGATCGGACGACAGGATGGAAGTGGCGTACCTCAACGGCGTTGCGACGACCATCTTCGACGGACACGCCAGCCAAGTCCTGCTGGCCGAAATGACCGGCGTTAAAGCCGAAGAAATGACGCGGTGGAAGGCGGAGTGGGAGGAGGCAAAGGTGATGCCGAAGGGTATGTGGACGGTGATGTGGTCCCGCGGCGCCACCATGTTTCGTGCACGGTAAGAATCGTGGGACTCGATGTGTTTTGAGCGGCGTGATTAGGTCTGACTGTGGGGTTTTACGCCGACTAACCACGTTCACGTTCCACGTCGTGCGTGACAGGTTCCAGAAAGTCCTCGCCGACTTCAAACAGAAGAAGTCATCAGGGCCCCCGCTGATGAAAGTGCTGAGGCCGGCGGTGTGGTTCGGCACTGGTTGGGAGCCGGCCAAGCGCAAGCAGCAGCTCAGCGACATCATCAACCGCGCTTGCTTGTGCGCGGCGTTTGGGCCAGTCGCGGCAGATGCCGTCCCCAAAACAAATGGAGACGCCAAGCGCATAGGCCAAGCCGTCGCCGCTTCATCCTGCGCCGTGTGGTGCTTCGCCGAGACCGCGGCCGAGGTCGGCAATGCGGCGGGTGAAGCGAAGGCAGCGGCACTGCTGTGTGAAGCGAGCACCGATTTTGCTGACACTTGTCACGACGTCATGGTTGCGGTGCTAGAAACGGCGGTTGCGAGACAACCCGTCCTGGGAGAGGTCTCGTGCAACGTCACCGACGCACTGCAGAAGGATGCTCTTCGGAAGGCGTGCAAGGGCTGTGACCCCACACCCGACGCCGAGATTATCGCGAGGGCGACTATCGAGACCCTCGCTTTCTGGGGGTCGTGCAACGCCGGCGGCCCCCTCCTCCGAGCACGCGGCATTCAAGTGCCGCTGGACAAGCAGATGGAGAAGGATATGGATAACAGGGGAAAGAAGGGGCAGAAGGGGAAGCACGCCGCGTAGATGGGTTTTGTTGTTGTGTCTGTCGTTGTGTTCTGGACCGTTGTCGCAATGTGTAGCAAGATTGTTGACTGATTGTGGGGTTTTGGTGGGCGCCGACTTTTATTGTGCACTTTTGCTGTGTTTCTAGCACGTAGGTTAATTTGCTGTTCATGAAACGCCCTCGTGTTTTCGGTTCTTTGCCAAATTCTCAACTGTTGGGAACATTGAATCCACAGTAAGTCGGAAACAAAAGTAACAATTGAGCTAAAAGAAAGTAGCTAAGCGGCGACAAAACATCAGCCCGGCTTCCGACGCTTGGACGTCTTCGTCGGCAGCGGCGGCGGTCTTCCAGCGGCCGCTTCGGCCGCCACAGCTTTCTGCTCTTCCCACGTGGTCGGGAACATGTCCTCGCCCCACTTGTGCGTCATGTATCCCGCCGCCACCAGTCCCCAAGCAACCGTCAGCTTGGGATTTTCACCCTCAGAAAGCCCCTTGATGCCCAGGTTCCCCTCCGTGCGTATCGGAAGCGCGTCGGCGTCGATGATCTTGAGAGCATCGCAGAAGGTCACAATTCCCGACGCAGCGAGCTCGTCGAGTTTCTTGATGACGGCGGCGGTGTCGGCCTCTCCGTCTGACGAGCGGAAGCGGCGCACGGCCTCCATCGCCCTCCTCATTCGGCGCATCTCACCCTGTTTTGCGTTGGCCGACGACTTGCCCAGGAGGCTGTGCCGCCCGATGAAACCTGGCTCGTTGATCCTGTCGCAGAGACGCCGGCGGTCCGTGGTGGTGGGGCAGTTCCAGAAGCGCCAGGCCTCTGCCACAGTCTCGGCCCTTCTCCATGGGTCGACAACCAGGGCCTCGTAGTGAGCGTCGGCGTCCAACTGAGCTTGCTTAGCGGCCGCAGCTGCCTCCTCTTCCAGGGTCGTCGGCCTAGCAGCACGCGCCTCCTCGAGCTCCTTCTCCACCTTCATCTGCTTGAGCGTCGCTTTGTGCCTCTCGTAGGCCAGCGTCTCGTTCAGAAGGTCGACTTGAAATTCGGCGTCCAGGCGGGCTGAGATTTCCTGCGAACAGCAGCGGAGCGGGTTAGGAGTCAGGTGATACAAGCACGCTTGCCGTCAAGTCACGCGGAGTTCATCTTGTGCTTACAGCTGGCTGGGTCGGGATCGGCGACCGGCGCTTGGCGATCGTCTCGGTGTCAATCTTCTCGATGTCCTTCGCCCACGCCTGAAAGTCGCGATCCCGACAAAGCCTCGAAGCCTGGACCTGAGGGTGCCACGGAGTGCGGACGAGTTTCACCGCGAGGTCCTCGGCCGCAATGCGGCGTGCATCCAGCATGGTCTGGATAAAGTGCACCGCGGCCGTGTTCGCCTCAGGCCCTTGTGCGAGCTCTTCCGCCTGCATGAAATAGAGGAATGTCGGTGTGAACCGGTGAAGAGAGACGACAAGATGCATGAGGACGGCGTCGCTACACTCACCGCCCCCAACTGTTCCTCGACGCCGGGAAATATGTGCGCGGCGATGGTTTTTTCGAGGTCTGCGCTGGGAGGTAGCCTGCTGCGGCCCAGGAAGTAGTCGCTTCGGGCTCCGGAGTAGCCGGCCTTCCTCATCACCACCCCGACTGGAATTGAAGTGATGTAACTCCTCGTCATCTTGTCAATAGCCCAGTGACCCAATTCGGCTATCTCGGCGCGCGGCGTGCCTTGGTCAGCCAGCTCTTGTGCCCCGCCAGCGCGAGCGGCGTGCACGTTGTGCTTGATGAAAACCTTGTTGGCCGTCCACAGCTGCCGAGTGATTCGTTGCTGGCTCGACGACGGCAGCAAACCCTGATCCTTGTCGTAGCGGGCGAAGAAGAGATGCTTGTCGTACCAAAGCTCCGGTCGGCGTACGTCCAGCGGCGGAATTATGGGGACGCCGAAGATCTGGGGGACCTGGTCGTAGATGAAGTGCAGCCAGAGGATTGTATCGCCCACAGCACACTGTTCCGCCTCTAAGTGCCTCGCCGCGTAGCTGTGATGAAGACGGGCGTCCTTGCACGTCTTCGAGTTGCGCTGCGCAATGACCATGACCATTGGCCGGTTGTCAGGGTTCACCGACGACCCGCTAGCAAGGCGGTACAGAAAGATGTCGGCGAGCGTGATCTCGCGTACGCTGGCACCGCGGAGCAGTGTGTGGTGCGATAGCAGGGTCATCATTCTCATAAGCATGAACTTCCACAGAGTCTGGGAAGGACCTGTTCCCCTCGGATTCCACGCCGTCGCCGACCAGTGCGGCAACACCTTGAACATGATTTTGCGGAACTGCTCGGTGGTGTAAGTGTCGCCGATGGTTCCGCGATGTCGGTCGACATATTTTCTGCGCAAGAGGAGAGTGCGAGGGTGATGATTGAGTGTGAGCGGCGTCGGTGAGCATTGGAGGGAATACTAGAGAGGACTGGCAAAGTCGGCGATGTTAAAACATCTTACTTGTTGTCGGCTTTGTTTTTTCCGCGAACCATGACGCGCACTTCCGTCCGGACGACCGAGATGTCCTGCATGATGTACAGCTCCTTCTCCTTGTACAGGGTCGCCTCTACCCTGGCCGCCATCTGAAGGGCCTTGATGCGGCCGAGTAGCATGTTGACCGTGCAAGGCTTGATCGGCTGCGTGCGCATGGCGGTGTTGCCCTCTTCGCTCCTCATTGCCTCGATGAGGGTCTCTCGCGCTCTGAACAAGACGTAAGCGCGAATTCGAGGCTCGTTGGTCCTCGGGCCGTGCAACCAGATGAACTGGCGCGGGGCGGTGTGCCAACGTTCGCCCAAATCATCGCCGATGTGCTTGCCGGTTTCGTCCTTGTCAGTGAGTATGGACCCCGGCTCCAGGTCGTCACCTTCTGACGGAAGAGCATCCACCGCCCACCGCTTGTAATCTAGTATCCACGATATGTACTGCCGCAGCGACGACCCTTCCTCGAGCGTCTCCGTGTGGCGAAGGGCATTGGCTGTCAGCACTTCGGGGTCGCTGTTCTTCAGATCCTCGACCACAAACTCAGCCGCCGTAAACTCTCCTCGCGGGACGCTCGCGTGCAGCCTATCCTCGGCTTCGTCCTCGGCCAACGCCGCCTCTATCTCTCTTCGATCCCTCTCGGCTCGAGTGAGCGGCCGACGTTGGCGTCTAGGTCCCGGGCCGGGCTGGGGTTCCTCCTCCTCATCGCTAGACGAGGAGTCCTCCTCCGGCTGGATAGGACGTCGCTTTTGGGGATCGCCTACAGGTGGCGGCGGAATGTCAGGGTCGACGGGAATTGCAGCCAATGCATTTAGATCGTAAATCAGACGCAGCGTCACTGCCGGAATGGTGGTGGGGCGGACGCCGGCCGGCGTTGTGGCGTCACCGGTCAGGTTCACCCGCGCCTGGGCTGCCAGCGGAACGTAGTCCGACATGTTGGCCTCGGCCGTACGTCCTAACAGCGCTTGTTGTCTACTGAGGGCCAGCCGGCGAGTTGGTCGGCGGGTCGGGCATAAAATGGCGGTTTTGGGTAACGGCGGCGGCGTACCGCTGCTGCGTTGTGTTCGCCTCTAGTGACCTAGTGACCCTCTGTATCTAAGCGGGCGGCGAGAGAAGCTTGCGCCAACTGCGCGGCGATGTCCCCCTCAGATGGGTTTGTTTCCGGCGGCGTTGCACCAGGCCGGTCGCCGACCACGCACAGCGCAACCCTAAACCAGTCTCGGCCTTTCTCCACGGATCTGGCCGATTGTGCTTCCCGTTTAAAACGGGCGACGAAACTGTGAAATCGGCTGCTACGACCAACGAAACCCAATGGCCCGATAATCGGTGTCACCTGCTGGTCGGCGTCAAACGCCGGAGCCGCGGAGTTCGCCGCAGAGCGTGTCCTGGTGGAGAAAAACTAAGTGTGAGAGCGCAGGCGTAAGAAGTGACGAAAGGAAGCGGGAGTAGGGAAAATGGCTAGTGGCAGCTTGGCTCCGGAGAGGTCATGGACGTGCGCGGCTCGGCACATGCCACCGTGCAGGCAAGGTTCTGTACACTTGGCATTCATGCCGCTGTCCACGCGAGGCGGCGTATTCTCCGACGTGACACGGCTCTCACATGGCCACTACAACGCCGCCGTGACTGTCCATGACGGTGTTTCGTAAGGCATGCCACGGCAGCAATACAAGGCGCGCCGGGGCTTGTGGCATTGGTCCAGAGTCCATTCACCGGTGATTGGCGTCACGAGATACTTTGACGCCGACTTTGCGGCCACCGCGGGTTCATCACGAGATACTTTGACGCCGACTTTGCGGACAGCTCGGGTTCATTTTTCCCGCGCAAATAGTCCTCCGATGTTCGACACTTGGACCCGGCATCGCCGTTCGATGTACGCCGCGTGTCCGGCGCCGACATTTATCCTGCCGTTCGATTTCTTCCACGTAGACTTACAGAATTACGCCGTGACGCCGATTGACGCCGCGTGTCACGCACCGACATTCTGACGGCCTGCGCGTTCTTTCCCGCGCGACGCTTGAGGCGTGGTCGGGTGACGCGTGGACGCCAGTGTGGACGCCGACATTCGAGGGAGGTCGGACATGATCCACGTCATCCGTAACCCGCCGCGTGTCGTGCATCCGCGGTCTACGTGTCCTGCTGGCAACTCGGCACGCGTTGAGATATACCCTGTGGGTATTTCTCAGCCCACGGGAATGTCGATGGTCGTTCGGCGTTCCTTAGGGCTCCGTGCCCCAGTCTACCATGCAGTTTCCGACGGTCGGACGGCGAGCTGAAATGGAACCCTGTCGGTTCTGTGCGGCGAAAACGGGCGGGGGAATTCGTCGGCTAAGCTATATCATGCTGAAAATCAGGGTCAGAATTTCAGCAGCTAAGGGCCTCAAAGTTCTGCCCCCAGGGATATCGACAGCCCTGGTGAGGTGGTGTGTGCTGTGCTTCCTCACAGCACAACTTCACGTCCATGACACGCACATCAGGAGGAAATGACAGAGCGCCGTGTTTTCAAATTTCCAATTCCAATGGGCAGTGGTTTTGACAGCGCATTGCTCTGCACTCGCGTCCAATACCTTGGGGCATATTCTTTCTCAATTTCCCCTTTTAAGTCCACAAATACAAGTTGGTTTTATACGGGGTATTAAAAATGTATTCGTCGAGTCCATGGCAAACACTCAGCTCGGGACAAGAAAAATATCACCCTCATGGATGGTATGCCACGAAGAGAGCATCAACCCTAAACACCATGAGGCAAGGTGTTTAGGGTTGATGCCTCCCAAATGGCTTGTCATCCGAGTGGGTTTTAGTTTTTCCACTGGCCTCTATACTGAGCCCAGGTACTGGATATTTGCCCTTCTATACGTTTAGTCATGAAAAACGGGAAACAGCAATATAAACTGACCGCGGGAATTGGGCGCGATCGCGGTGGGAGTCGCTGTCAAAGCCACTGCCGAAAGGAATCGAAAACGTGCAAACACGGCGGTCCGTCATTTCCTCCGCACATCAGACTTGAACTTCCAGAAAATTGGGGATGGGGAGCGGGGGCGCGTGGTCACTCCAATGCTGTCTGCTTCGGCTCGAAACTAGCAGCCGCAACGAGACAACAACTGCGTAACCTTCTTCCATATTTATTCTCATAGTTGCTGTCGATTGATGGCGATGCGACGTAGATAATTCTCCATAGCGCCACTAATCATAATGCGGACTGGGTATCCCCAGCTGTCGAAGTGGCTCCTTAGCGCCACTAACCCAGCGCTCGTTTTAATTCTCGCGCCATTTCGCCAAAAAAACCAGATTCGAGCCGCGCGCGCCATGGATTTCGACGAGTTTCACATCTTGCCCGTCGAGCACGCGAGCCAGGCCCATCGATGGCTCGCGGTCGCGTCGTGCAATCTCGTCACAGCCTCGCTCGTCTTCTTCCTCATTCGCCACCTACCCAAAGGCCTCCCTCGCCTCCTCGCCCTCTCCCCCATAATCCTCCTCAACATCGCCCTCCCCTGCGTTTTTTCCGCCACGAAACGCGGCGAGTGCATCGAGAAGGGCCTCGTGTTCTGGACCGTGTCGTGGCTCGGCAATTTCCGCCTGCTCGCTCTCGCGTGGAACCGCGGCTCGCTCATGGACCCGGGTTACTCCTCCAGCTTTCTTCAATTCCTCATCGCGCTATACATGCCCATGCGAAATCGCGTTCGCGAAACGGCGAAAACCGCCGTCTTTTCGCCTGAAACCCCCAACAGATAGCAGTCCCGCCGCCACAAGCAGCCCGCATCCGAATCCTCGCCGCAGCTGCTTCTGCGAGGCGCATTAAAAGCATTCCTCCTCTCTCTCACCATCCGAGCATACGCTTTCAACCTCCCCGCGCCGGCCGTGACGCTGCTGCACAGCGCGAACCTCTTCCTCTTCGTCACGCTCCTCTGCGAACTCGTCGCACGGGTCGTCGCCGCCGTCGCCCCGCGCTTCGCCGTGGAGCCGCACTTCCGTCGCCCGTACCTGGCGACGTCGCTGGGGTCGTTCTGGGCGCGCCGGTGGAACCTCGTGGTGAGCGGCAGCCTCAGAGAGACCGTCTTCGAACCCATCTTGGACTGGCTTGAAGGCCCTAGCTGGTCGGACGGAGAGCGGGCAGCTGAGAAGAGAGCGGGAGGGAAGGAGGGTAATTCTGAGTTTGGAAATGGGTATCCAGCAGCCAATGGGGGGCATGATGCGGTGAATGGTCGCGGCTGCGGGGTTTCTGATGGGTTAGAAGCGGTTGAGAAGATAAATGGCTGCAGTGAGAAAGTGAATGGTTACAGTGAGAAGATGAACAGCTGCAGTGAGAAGGTGAATGGTTATAGTGAGAAGATGAACGGCTGCAATGAGAAGGTGAATGGTTACAGTGAGAGGATCAACGGTTGCTACCAAAGGAGCAGTCGGAAGCAGGAAATGGGTTGTGTGAACGGGGCTGGAGAGAATCAGAAAGGGCTCACTGACAACTGTGGTGACACTTGTTGGTTACACAAGGCAAAAGCAACGAAGCAGAACGGATGCGCTGCACCTGCTGCCGCTGCTGGTACTACCGGTACTTCTCCAAACAGGCACAGACGCCATGTGAGCTTCCCCAGGGCAGCAGCAACAATAGCCTCGTTTGCTGTATCCGGAGTGATGCACGAGCTGGTGATTCTGTACATAGGCGGAGCCATGACAGGCGAGCAGATGGTGTTTTTCACCCTACATGGAGTACTGACTGTGGCAGAGGCATGGGTGAGGAAGGAGTGGGGGAGGAGAGAGCTGGTGCCGATACCTAAGGTGGTGGCAGGAGGGCTGGCTCTTGGGTTGCTGCTGTCCACAGGCCATGTGCTCTTCTTTGAGCCGTACCAGCGGTTAGGTGTCATAGGGTGTGTTGTGGAGGGGCTTCAAGCCCACTTCTCGCAACTCATAAAGTTAACTTCATAAGGAAGACAATGCAAAAGCTGTTTTTTACAACCATGCATGCCAGACTTTTCACAGTACCGAACATTGCAGTCTGCAAGAACCTCTCCCACCACGTTCCCAGTTGAATATCTTCACTCCCTAGTCCTACCCGCTGCCCCCAACCCCGACCCAGCCCTAATGGCCAACTTCTCTGCTGCTACTGCTTGCGCCAGCCTCTGCAGATACCTGGGAAACAGCAAAACCCTAGTCATTTCGAAGCCCTAGTCACCAGAGTCGCAAACCTTGCTGCACATGGCGTTGGCTCCACACTTCATCTAAGCACAATTATTTATCTGCGACGCAAGTGACATGAGAAAGAAACGTTGGGCCCAGATGGGTTTGGGAATAGGAAAAGGAAGCAATGAGACAAAGGCCCTCTGAGCAACAAGACTGAGCTTGCGTTACGATGATTTTGTGAAGGAAACGAGCCATCATGAACGAAGCACTGCAAGTTGGCCTGAAATGATCCATTCAAGCACGGCATGGTAAGGTGGCATCGAGACGGACCGGGCAGGAGAAAAGACGGAAGGGGCAGGAGAAAGCAGAGCGCAAGAGGGGGTATCACAAGCACTGCAAGTTGAGTCATCACAAGCACTGCAGTGGGTGAAACCAAATTTTCATATGCCTGGCGGCAAGTGGCAAGGTGACACGATGAAAAGGAGGCACAGTACGCACCAGCGTCGCAGGAAAGAGAAGCAAATTGGGGGACCTCCAGCTTGCTGCGAGGACGGAAGGAACAGCACGTTCAGAGGAGATGTTGATAGGATACGTTAGAAACAAGTTAAGACGATGTTGATCATAAGGAGTCATGACCCGAGGCACGACAGTCACAACAGTGGCTCACAGCAATACCACCCCGCATCACCCACCCAGGGACATGCCGCATCACCCACCTGGGCCGGAGGAAGTTTTTCTTTAGATTGGGGACTTGCGGCTTCACGGTTTCGGCCACCGGCGCACCCTGGCAAGCACCCTTCGTGAAGAACCTGACCTTGCTGCACACCGCTTGCTGCTTCCCGTTTAAGCCGTTGCTCTGCCGCGGCGCTCCCAGCCACCACACTTCCACGCCCTGGCTCCCCTCGTTGAGAGACGCCTGGGCAGAAGGGTCAAGGGTGACGCACGCGGCTGGGGCGTCAAAGTTGACGAGGCGGTGAGCTTGCACCACGTTGACCTGCGTGGCCACCCGCACCAGCGCCTTCACTGGCCGGCCCATGCTGTGGGCATTCCCATTGTCCACAGCCATAGTAAATCTGGTCTTTATTTTGAGGCTCCTCCTCGCAGTCACAGCGCTGCTCGCGCCGCCGCCCACTTGCACGCGCGGCGTGTTCCGGCGATCCGCGCCGCGCTCGCCTGACGCCACGTGAGCCGTGGCGACCGCTGGACGCAGAGAGAGCAGACGGGCGAGAGAGAGCAGACGGGCGAGAGGATTAGAGCGTGCACCTTTCCCGAAGCTTGAGAAAACGCGGCAGCCGAAACAGGGAGAGAATGTTATAAACGACTCACCGGAGGTGACGCCAAGGACAAGTAACGGACGTAGAAAAAAAAAAAAAAAAAAAAAGAGACGTTTTGAGACGTTTTGAAACGTCTCAAAAAGCTGTCACGTCTCAAAACGAGAACCGACTCACCGCAGATGACGGCAAGGACGAGGAGCGGAAGCAGCGCGGGAGGGGAAGCGGCCATGATGACCAGCGGGTTCAAGCTACCACGTCAGCAGTGGGTGCACGCACAACCGAGTGACTGGAGCCTCCGGCGACAAGCGACAGGCTCTCGGGTGACGGGTAATATAGCCGATACAGGTATAGATAGTCGGTGGTATGACTGTTGGCGCTACTAGTACTAAGATATGGCAGAAGCGGCGGAAGCGTTGAGTCCATGGCTGATCTAGCCGGTGGCTTATAAACGAAATTCGGACGCTCCCAGTGGGAGAGCCCAGCACTCGAGGCTCGCAGTCCCATTAGGAGCGCTAGGAACGCGATCGCGCGTGGCTGGAACGGGTCACAGCGCAATCGTCGGCCTTCGCGCTGGAAATGGAGTTGGTGTTCAAAATGAAGCGAGAAATGTGGTGGCAGTGCGAGCACCGAGGAACGCGTACATCAGTGCTGGAAATGGGGTTGGTGATCAGAGCGTGGTTGAACACGGTCAAGCGCTTGGGCGTGGTTTTGGTTGTTCACCGCATTAGACCATTGCGCACCAGGTTGAACCATTTTCTGACGAACCAGGAACAACAACCCGCTCTCATCAGTGTGAGCAAACCTGGCTGATGAGCAGCGATGGGGCTTGGCTGCCCATAAAAGTCTTTTGACTGGGATGGGAGGGAGGGAATTCCGCTTTGGGCAGCCATTCTGTGCGAGTAGAGAATGTGTTCGAGCAATAGAACTGTGCGGGCAGATTCAAATCTGCAATAATGCAGCTTCTTGTTCTGTGATTGGCTTCCGCGACAACTCATAAGATCTTTTTTTTTTTTGAATTGAAGTATACATTAATGAGGCCAATGCACACAACAATAGCAGTCGTAAGGGCAGACACCTTGAGCTGCCCAACAGGGTATCTAGGGCGGTAAGAAAACCCTTCTTGGACAACAACTCATAAGATCTGTATTTGCGACAAGAGACAGGTTACACTACGCACAAGCGAGCCAATGAAAACATTCTGCGAAAGAAGTGCGACATGTCCCAGCTCGCAAGTTCTGCTCACCACGATCAGCATGGGAGGTTTTTTTTTCGGAAGGACGTTTTTATAAACATCTGAATATCGTATGGCGAATAAAGTAGCACACCTCGCGAGTCGCGCCTCTCGCTGCCTCACGACGGGTCCTTGTGAGCGGCCTCGCGCTGACTAGATAAATAGCTATGACATCGGAGCCGTAGCAGCCGCTTCTTTCTGCGAACCGTCGCTCGTCTTGAGGCATGGTCGAACCATGCGTGTCAACGGAAGGCAGCGCGTCAGGAGAACAGACGCCAAGTGTTTTTCCGCTGGACCCGACGGCTCCTCGCTCCCTGCAGCCGCAAAACCCGCCTCACACCCCGTTAGCGCCGCAAGAAATCGGGCAATCGCGGTGGAGCTTCGCCGTCGTCAACGTGTTCCTGTAGTGAGTGTCTCGCTAAGGAGTTGTTTTCTCTCGTAATACTACTATTAGCGATCGCTGTGTAGCGGCATGCCGCCACCGTCGATGGGTACACGCGACGGCGTGAACGCGACGGTGTGAATGCGACGCAATCAAAACGGCTACTTACTCAACCCAAAGTCATCGTTGAATCGCCTCATGGGCAGTCGGCCAAGGAAGTAGTAAACGCGCAGCCAGGCAGCCGAACGGTTCTGTAACGCCCCTTGCCCTTCCCTCTGTGAAGAAGAGAACGAGAGAATGTGTGAACTATGAACGAAGTGAGTACAAATAGGAAACCCTAGCTGGGTTGTACCCCCTATGGGATACCCCACTATAGCCTACACAAATAAGTAAGCTATAATGTTCTGACACACCCCCATAGGCAAAGTGGGGGAGAACAAGGGGTCACAAGACCAGTCAAGCAAAGCAAAGCAAAGCTCAGGGTGGATCACAAAGTCACCACACATTCCGAGCACAAGTTCAAGGGCCACAAGGCCAGTTCACATGCAAGATCATATATATAGAGATATACAAGAGTCAAGCAAGCAAGAGCAAGACTATATATATGTGACGGTACAAGAAAGGTCAAGAAGTGAGCAAGTGAGGCAAGACAGACACAAGACCCAGCTGCGTGCAGCAACGCTGATGATCACAAGGCGCAAGTGCCTTGGTGAACACATCAGCAGTGTTGGCCTCAGAGGCCACGTACGCAAGTCGCAACTGTCCACGCTGCTATAGCTCACGAGCAAGAAAGTAGCGGAGAGCAATGTGCTTTGTCCTGTGCTCCAGTCTCTGCTCTCGACACAAGGCCAGCATGGCCTTGTTGTCTACGTACAGGACTGGAGGAGAACGAGGCTGCTCTCCAAGGTCGGTCAGCAGGTAGGTGAGCCAGCGTAACTCCTGTGCAGCCATAGCCCCAGCGTAGATCTCAGCCTCACAACTGGAGCCGAGAACAGAAGACGAGCGGGTAGCCCGCCACGAAACAGAGCCGGAACCAAGGCTGAAGGTGTAACCCTGTGACGACCGCTGCGTAGCCTGGTCGTCAGCCCAAGAAGCGTCTGCGTGCCCAGTGAGGACCACTGGACTGCGCCCTCCAAGCACTAGCCCCATGCCCGACGTACTGCACAAGTAGCGCAACACCCTCTTCGCTGCAGCCATGTGCTCTGGTCGGTGTCTCCCAGGAGCAACATAGCGTGCGAGAATGCTAAGAGGGTATGCAAGGTCAGGTCGAGTGCAGGTCATCAGGTACATGAGGCAGCCAACAAGCTCTGCATACGGGCCACTCGACTCTACGGACTCATCCGAAGGCAGAGCTGAGAGCGAGTGGCGAGTAGGCAGAGGAGTGGCCTGAGGCGAGGAGTACGTGAAGCCGAAGCGCTGAAGGACCTGCTGCACCATGTGTGACTGAGTCAGGGTAATGGTGCGGCGTGCTCTGTCCCGGGTGATCTGCAAGCCAAGGTAGCTGCGCAGTTCACCCAGGTCAGTGCACGTGTGTCTCTTCTGCAGCTCGGACTTCACGTAGGCGAGTCCAGCAGTGTCAGCTGTGGCAAAGACCAAGTCGTCGACGTACACGAGGATGTAGAACGGCGGCAGAGAGGTGTCGGTGCGTAGAAATAGCGACGGGTCGGCAGTAGACGGAGCAAACCCAAGTGCCGCGAGCGTAGTCCTCAGTGTGTCGTGCCACTCACGTGGCGCCTGGCGGAGACCGTAGACTGGACGCCGGAGACTCCACTGGGTACCATGAGGGAAAGACCCAGTGAAGCCAGGTGGGCGGCGCAGCCAGATCTCCTCGTGCAGACTGCCCTGCAAGAAAGCTGTGCTGAAGTCGAGAGAGTGCAGCTCGTAGTCACGGTGAGCAGCAACGTGCAGCAGAACCCGAAGAGTGGTCATCTTCGGGGTGGGGGAGAAGGTCTGAAAGTAGTCAACCCCCTGCCGCTGACTGAAGCCACGAGCCACGTAACGCGCCTTGAAGACAGGCGGAGAACCCGGCGGCCGCTTCACCCTGAAAATCCACATGCCACTGACGATGTTCGCCCCAGGAGGGGGGACAGCGTCGACGTAGGTGCCTGTGGACTTCCAGGAAGCCATCTCTGCGTCCATAGCTGCCTGCCACTGAGAGGAGTAGGGACCCTCTATCGCCTCCGCGTAAGAGCGCGGAGTCGGGATGTCTGGTGCATCCGGGTCTCCCTCAGGGGCTAGCAGTACAGACGCGAGATGGGGTGAAGTGGCGGCCAGACACTGGAACTCCTCCTGCCTGTCCTCAAGGACGTCCGTGCCGAGGGCACACTCACCCCCGACGGACGGAGGACAGGCAGACTCAGACTCAGCGACAAGACTGGCAGCGTAGTCTAGACGACAGCGCGCAGCAAAGTCGACAAGCTCAGTGACAAGGGCAGACGCAGCAGACGACTCGAAGGAAGGGTCAGTGACAGCAGTAGCAAGGAGACGCGTGACAGTAGGACTGGCAGCACGAAGAGAGTCCGACTCCGGGTCGGCAAGAGCAGGAAGAGAGGAAGCAGGAGGAGAAGGCAAAGGGGCACGCAGAGGAGCAGTGGACGGACGCAGAGACATCCGGTGCGTGCCAGGGACAGGAGGAGGACGCTGACGCGAACCGCGACCACTAGCGCGCTCTGGACGAACAGGCGACGCAGGACGAGACGCAGGCTCACGACGCTCAGTAAGACCTCCAGTCGGACCAGCGTAGGGAGAAGGAGCAGGCAAAGGGGAGGCAGGCTGTAGCTGTGGCTGTGACCGGACAGGCTGCGGACCCTCTAAGGGAGGAGGAGAAAGTGGAAGACCAAGAACCTGCTGCAGGAGCGGAACGAAGTACGGTCGGGGCCGCGCGGCGACCCCAGAAACAGCAGGAACAGCACCAGCACCCGCGGCAGGAGCACCCACTCCAGTAGCACCTCCAGCAGCACCACCAGAAGCTCCAGAACCTCCAGCAGCAGCACCAGGAGCACTGTCAGTCGGACCGCCAGCAGTAGGCTCAGCGCCAACACCCTCAGCAGCACCAGCTCCAGGAGAACTCGCAGACCCAACAGCTCCAGCACCCACAGGACGAGCACAGCCCGGACGCGCGGCAGCAGTGCCCTCTGCAGCCGAAGAACCACCAGCACTAGCAGCACGCCTCCAGCGCC